TCTTTGTGTAGCTTTGCACTATGTTCTGGCACTTACTCTGTAGATTTGACTGACCTTGTACTCACAGAAATCTGCCTGCCTCTGCCACTCGTGTGCTAGGACTAAAGATGTGTGACACCACTGCCTGGCTGGTGTCCTATTTTGTTTTTTAAACAGAATGTGTTTTATTTCTTTTATTGCTGGGGTCTCTCTCTCTCTCTTTCTCTTTCTTTCTTTCTTTCTTTCTTTCTCTCTCTCTCTCTCTCTCGCTCTCTCTCTCTCTCTCTATATATATATATATATATATATTTCTCTTTTACCTTGTATTTGTTCTAACTCTAACAGCATAAATCACATTTTTAAATATATTGAGGTCTCTTGTTAGAATAAAGTGTTAGAATAAAGGGTATTTGTTGGCATTGACTTATATGTATTGATGTTTGGAATATGTAGGCATGATAAGAAATATTTTCTCATGAATAAATTAGTATTTTCTATACATTACTTTTACATTATCTTCAAATGCCCATTCTTTGTTATTTATCCATGTCTTCAGATTATTTAAATTTTTATTTAAATTTTTATTTTCACTCCACTAAATTTTCCTAAAAAAAAAAAAAACCAATGGTAGAATTTTCTATTTTTATAACACCGTGTGCTGCTTCTCCAGGTTTGGTATATTTGTTTCATAGTATTAATATAATATATTGTTTGAGGGCAGAAATGATATTGAACCATAGAAAAAGGCTCGATTATATAACTGAGGAGTAAGTCAGTAGAGGGACACCATAAGAAATGTGAATATCTGAAACCTAAGATTTTATCTAATCCAATGCATTCAGCATTTTTTTTTGAGGAGATCTTCCAGAGAACTGAAGTTTTGAGGAGCAAAGAGGGCTCTGAGAAGTTTTGAAGAGCAAAAAATATAAATAAAAGGACCAAAACCAGCAGAAAAAGCTTAGCTGTTACATGACATTGATTACACTGTATAAATATATGTCACTGTTGTTGGTTTAATACAAAGCTAAATGGTCAATAGCTAGGCAGGAGGTATAGGAAGGACTTCTGGATAGAGGGTGCTTTGGGAAGAAGAAAGGAGGACTCACCAACTGGATACAGAGGTAGCAGGACATGTAGGAGAAGTAAAACCTCAAGCCCTTTGCCAGCATATGGACTAATAGAAATGGGTTAATTTAAGGTGTAAGAGGTAGTTAGAAATAGCCTAAGCTAAGGCCCATCAATAAGAAGTCTCAATTTTGTGATGTTTATATTTCTCCTTTTGCTTAGGTATTGTGTTTATATAGCTCAGTTAGAAATGTAGTGTATAACTTAGTACAGATTATAGATAATTACCTATGATAGTCAAAGCTTAGAGTTAAGTTAGTTAGGTTTTTCAAGATACACAGAGATGTATTTGAGATAGATAAGCATTCTTCAAACCTTTCAAAGACCTACAGAATATGGCATTTAAAATGGCTTAGGGTTTTTCTTGACAGTGAGACATAATTGCTCTTGGCAATACCACCTGCACCAGAAAGGAAGATGGACATTAAAGACACTCGTTATGGAGTTTGCCTCCAATATGGCAAGACTAGCCATTTGGACAAGATACCCCTCTTGTCTGGACTGTTTGACTTTGTGATGTATAAACTGGACATGCAGGACCCACAGGAAAGTGACTCCTGATTCAAGATGGACATTGCTACAGAGTTGCTGCTTCATGGAAGAGTCTGCGAGACAGTATGCAGGACACAGAGAAAAGTGACTGACAAACTGCCAATACAAGAAGACAGTTTAAAATTTCCTGCTTTACTGGAGAGTCTGTCAAACACACTACGGCCTATGGGCTGAAGATGAAAGATTACAGAAGAACATCGGGTGACTGAAAAGGCAAGATGTCTCTGTCATTTCTAGAGCTTATATATTATCCTTTTGTGGTCTTTGAAGGATTTGAAGACAGATAGTTATGGTTATAGTTTTCATTAGTTAGCATTAAAGATAAGTTACTTAGACTTTAGACACACAAAGATAAAATAGATGATGAAATATTTTCTCCAAATCTTGCTAAATGTTAATGGACTAAATAGTGTTAACTGTGATTCTTATTTAATGACTGTTATGTGATATATTTTGCTATGTTAAGGTTAAAACCCTTCTTTTTATTTAGACAGAAAAGAGGAGATGATGGGAGATGTCATTCTGTATATGTTTCTCATACTGGTTAATAAATAAAGCACTGTTGGCCAATAGGAAAGGAAGATAGGAGGGGCTAGGAGACAAGGAGGAAGAGGAAGTAGGAAGGAGGGGAAAAGATGGAGAGTCTGGAGAGAGCTGTATGCTGCAGCCAGCTCCCGGTAAGAAGACCACATGAAAATACATAGAGTAACACAAATGGGTTAATACTTAAGACAGAGCTAGCCGATAAGAAAGTAGTAACTAGCCAACAGTATAATATCTAATACAGAGTCTCTGTGTATTATTTGGGGCTGGTGCGGTGGCGGGACAAAACTGGCGGCGGGAGGAAAAACCCATCCTCCTTACACTGCACTTGCCTGGTAGTTAGGAAACCCTACATTCAATCCTACTAGCCCCCATTCTAACATATATATCCTTCATGAATATTACATATACATACAAACACACATGTGCACACACATACATCTATACATAATACACACATATATTTTTATATATACATACATATATATGTACATACATACAAACATTCACACACACACACCACACATCTATATATACATACAGAGATCTTCTGTTATCACTATCTTTTCTGCTTTTCAAAATGTTCTCCCTAGCTCAAGGCTTGCCAAACACATCCTATACTATTGGCCAGGGTTTGAATCTAAAGGAAAATGGTGGTCTTTTTTTTGTTCATAGGTCTCAAGTTAGGGATCTAACCACTGTGGAGTATACACTTGCTAAGAAAATTTGTTTTAACTTTGATACCATATGAACCTCAATATCTCATGAGAAGACCCCTGGACACTCTACACATGTGTTCTCTGGTAAAGAATGTCAGAAACCTTTCACTGAGGTACAACTTCAGCTAAAGTATTAAATCTCAGTTTGTTGTTTGCAATGCCTTCCATTGTATAAGAGAACATGCAAGTTCTATGCTCTCTTCCAAGGGTTCATATGGTATTACCTTGTACCGTCCTTTGGTAATTTGCTCCTTAGCTGTTTTAGGTCATTCCTGAGCTTTTGGAACTATCAGGGTCTTAGGAATCAAGGTACCAATGGGACGCTATTCTTTAGTGAAAACTACAAGAGAGGTTTGTGACTTTCCTTTTTTTCTTCAAGTGTTATTAACTTTATCAAAAAAAAAAAAAAAACTATGCTTGTCGCTTTCCTGAAATTGAACTCTTAGAGCTATTTAAATGGTACAAGGAAATGCCTCGTTTGTTGAACTCAAGAACTGGATAGTGTCAACGGGTATGAAAAAATTAGATTTTTTTCAAGAATAAAGGGAATATGTAGCATGTTTATGTGACTGAAACAGACCAATTATATTGGGTTTTCAAGATAATTTTGTTTTTACAAAAATTATAAAAACAAAATCATTTCATTAATGCACTGAATGAAAAAGAAAATGATGGAAAATATTTATTAGAGATATCTCTAAAAGAAGATGACAGGAGGGTTTCATATTGAGAAAGCCATGTGAAGATATAGAGACTGAGGAACTGTTGGTGATCAGTGCTTTAAGGGAGAGTACAAGATGTGTGAGACAATGGAATGAATAGACACTTCATAATACCATGATTGATATTTTTAAGTTTATGCTAAGTACAAAGAAAGGCCCTGAGATACTTTCAGAATGGGAGGGACATATTATGGACTTCCAAATGACAAGATTCTTCTTGTTGCTATGTGGAGTTTGCAACAGTGGGGAAGCAGAGACACAGTTACACTACTAAAATGGATCCTAGCAGAGGTGAGGGCATTTCCTGCCAATGCTTTGGTAGTAAATGCCATGTCTGTGACATACATAGAGGGAAGAAGAAGCATATGAAACGTTCGTGCTGCCATCACCCCTTGCTAGGTAAAGCAGCAAGTGCACACTATCCATTTTGTGACTTACTTGTTTACAGAATTTGAGCTTTCTTCACTAGGTATCTTCTGGAGGTATCTTCTGGACATTAAGTACATATAATGAGTGTATTTGCCACTAAAGAGTGAAAAAGTCCTTTGAGGTTGTGCTAACTGGCTTTAAGTTAATTTATTTTTCAGAAAAGTATCAGTTATAAAAGCACATATATAAAGCTAAACAAACAGTGGAACAGCATGAATAATTATTTTTTCCTATACATTTAACATTAATTAACTTCAAACTCCCACATTTTTGTTTGTGTTTTGTTTAATTATTTCCTAAAATTACAGAGCAAAGCAGAAAGACCCTGGATCTAGAGGGCTCTTTTGTTAGCTTGCAAAAACATCACAATCTTACATTAATATGTTCCTTTAATTTAATGAAAGAATTTTTAGAGCTAAATACGTAAGATACTAGCAGACACATGACCTTTCTTCTACTTACCACATATGAACTCTGAAAAACTAGTTTGACTCTCTAAGTATCAGGCTATTTGCTGGTAAAGCCTGAATTATAGAAATACATTGTGGCTGGTGGTGGTAATGAACGCCTTCTTTTTTTTTTTTTTTTTGACTAATTTAAAGTTGGTTTTATTTATTTTTTTACATGTGACATCCTACATGATTATTGTATCTTTTTTTTAATGTAACAAAGTACAATTAAATGAAAACAAACATTTATACACAATATTTGGGAATTTGGACGCCTTTAATCATAGTACTCAGAAGCAGGTCAATCTCTGTGAATTTGAGGCCAGCTTGGCCTACATAGTGAGTTTCAGGCCAGTTAGAGCAATGTAAAGAGACCATATCTCAGAAAAACAAAACAACAAACAAACAAATAAAATAAGAAAGAAAAAAGGTATATGGTGAATTTGGTAATTAAGGAGGCTGTGTCTATAAACTAAGCATGATATTTGGCACACTATAAGCTTTCGCTAGATATTAGACATTAATCTTAGTAGTATAATGGTTAATTATTACTTTCCCAACAAGAACAAATTTGATTCAGGAAGAACTAACTGGTTGGCAGAGGCTTTGAAAAATATTCGTGATCTGAAGCTCATGTACCAGCTGCTAATTTGCTTGTTTATTTCATTTGATTTCCCTGAGCTGCACATAAGGGGAGTGGGTGGCAGAGCTTAATTTATTTGTCCCTTTTTTGAGAATGTGGGTTTTTGGCTCTCACACTATTTTGAGGCATGCCCTGGTGGTGGCACTGGCGATGTGCACACTTTGGGAAGGTGGGAGGACTGTGTACCTCTCCTAGTGGCTCCGGAAGCGTTCTTTCCCCAAGTGATCATCCTAGGTGCTACATGGTTGGTGCTACCAGCCATAGGCCTCTCCTCCTACAGAGCTGGAAACAACATGAAAAGAGCCATGACTCATGGGCTACAACTTTCTCAGCTGCTTGATACCAGCACTGATAGGCTCAGCTCCCATGTTTGCATCACCCTTCGGGATGCCTGAAGGGGAAAGGGCTCTCTAGCTTTCAAATAAAGTGCTTTCTGAGGATCACTGACATACTGGGAGATACTGTGGAGAGGGTGGGACGCAGATGCTGTTCCTTTGCTGGAGTCCACGGAAGGATGAACTGAGGTGGTAGGAGGGTATCTACAGATACTTAGAGGTATGACATTTGCAGTGTTTTTAAATCTTTCTTTACAAACTGTCAAAGAATCCCTGCTTTGCTGCCTTGATCTCACACACTGATCATTACACAGTTCTGTTAGCGATTACCTCAATGCTCTCTTTTGCTGGCTATGGCCTCCCTGCCTACTGTGGACTGTGTGCCTTGTGAGGGCAAGTCTTTTTATTTACAGCTTTGTGTCTTCAGTTCTGAGATCACCATCTAGTAGACAATGATGCTTAAGTAGCAATTGTTAACTATAAGAATGCACTGCTTGTTAAATGGATGGATGAATGGATAAATGGATGAATGGCTATACTCATGAAATGAGAAAAAAGATGATAACCCAGCACAAAGGATTGTTGGGGAAATACAAATACTTTCTGATAACATAAGGACATTTGACACAGGGAATTAACCCCAAAGTAATTTGAAGAAGATTTTAAATAAAGGAAGAAAATGTCCTCAAAGATAAAAATGGGCATCTTTGACCATGTTATATGAACATGCTATTTAAATGAAAATTCAGACATTTAGTTTATGTAAAGACAGTTATTGAATCTACAGAAAATTTACATAGCAAAACTATTAATCATCGATGAGAATAATGATTGTTTATCCAAACACTTCCTGTAAAAGTGTTTATTAAATGTTTATTAAATGTACTGGATGCAATGAGCTGACAGACGAATTGAAGTAGATCTCAGTCACTGAGAAGCAGATGGGTAAACAAGTAGTTGTTGCAATAGAAAAACAGAGGTCTGATCTTAGAACTATAGAAACAAAATCCGGACATTTTAAACTATGCTCAGAAAAAAATCTGATAAAGGAAAAAAGTTGCATATTAACTTGATCTTGAAAACAAGAGGTTGTGTTTGTGCAGAAGAGTGGTGGGCAGAATGAGCAGAATGCCTTCTGGGAAATGTAGTACTTCAGTATTTTACAGCAATCACAGTGAGTATATGAGATCAGAAAAACAGGGGGAAGGGGAACTATGGTTACAAAAAACTGATTCCGCCATGTAGAGGATGTATACACGAAGGATGTAATAATCAGTGCTGATTGCTGTTTCGCTGATTACAGTATATTGCTGAGTGAGCACCACAATATCTCTGCAATCTTTATTGTTGTTCTACTACAATACATGGGGAAGTATGTGCTCAGCTGTGCACTCCTAACTTCCCATGTCTGTATTTATATTGCCAAAGGCAAATAATTAAAGTAAGATAAGTAATTTAATTTTATGTATGTGTATTAATTGTATATATAAAAATTTAAAAATAAAAAAATGCCTAGAAAAATATAAACATGGTCTAGGTAAATGCTCAAATGGACTTGTTAGCAATGTGGGGGAGAGAATATTACCTTCCTGACTCCTACCCATGAACTTCCTGATGAAGCCTATCTCCATAAATGCAGGAACACATTGATGTCTATTATTTTATTCACAAGGCATATAACCACTCTGTTAGAATTGCCTTTTGTTACTGTGAGCTAAGGTATCTACTTGAAGTATCCACTATAATGTTTGGTTCTGGGCACAGTGTCTTACTCTAGCCCTAGCTGATCTCAAATTTGACAATAGTCTGGTTGTCTCCTGCTAAATGTAAAGAGATATGTGTGTGAAGACTATATGTGTGTGCCCATAACACTCAGCTTGCAACCTATTTTAAATTTTATTTATTATTAGATATATAAACAACTAATTAGTTACCATTTTCTGAAAACTGGTTTACCAAAAATATCCAGTGTGTAGAGGAATTCATTTAGAAAACCATGAACTCATCTTCAAAGGCTTCCTGATTTTATTTTTGATATTTATTTGATATATTTTGGATGTCTATTTACAAAAAAACTATATTTATGTATGTACACAAATAACACTGACATTGACATAGTAGACCCTTATGCTGTAAGAAATTAGTTTAAGTAGTTTTATTTAACAATATTAATTCACTTAATCTTCACCTGTATGTATGGGTAACTTTTAAAGTCTCCATTTTATAGGTGAATAGCTCAATACCAAAGGAACTTAACAACAATCGTGTTCTGGTCATGAAACAGGAAATGCTGAAGTCAGTGTTTGAACACATATACACTAGCTCTGTGTTCCATACTCTTAGATCTTAAACAGTATGCTATGCTTCATGCCATGTAAGAGGACTTGGGAGTCCTCGGTGAGAGAATAAGTCAAAGAGATCAAGTCTAGGAACACAGACACAGAAGATAATCCTGTTTATGAGAGCATGGATGGTTATCTACATCTGTGCCTTAAACAATGATAGTATTATATTTTTCAAATGTACTTTAAATAGTCTTCATAGCCTGAAAATTGGCATAAACAAAAGCCATGGGATGGAAGACACAAAGTGGGTTGAAGAACAGTGTATGTGAGCTGTGAAGCATAAACAGAATTCTTAATTGATCGAAATAATAAAACCCATGAGTCAGACAGAGAGGAAAATGCTGAGATACCAGAGAGAAGAAAGAACAAGCCATAGTCACCTTTACTGCCCTATTGTCTCAGAGGATAAGAGAAGAAATTCCTGTTTCTTCCCACATATGTCCTCTCTCTGCCCAGCCATCTCACTTTCTGTCTGTGCCAAGCCATCCCCCTTGCTGTTGGTACATGCAGATCTCCAGACCTCAATGGATATCTAGTAGTAAATTCCATCCTCTGATCTTCAGACAGTTTATTTGTACAAGCATGATATCACAACATATCCCCCTTTTTGTCTAAAAGTGGAAAGGTAATACCTAACATAAGAAAAACTATATACAACATGTATAAGTACACCAACAATGTCTAGTCAGTTAGTATTTGACAAATTCTGAGAAAATACTCCATTATCTGTTCTTTCAAAATGAGTTCAAAGTCTTGTACCTAATTTACTTTCTGTTCTAGTATGCATTGTATTATCAAATTATCTTTTAATGTCTTTCAGACCTATTACACTTAACAAATCTTTAGAGAGTTTCATTACTGAGTCAGGTAAACAAGGAAAACTTTAACTATACTATCTAGTCTTCAGCTCCCTCAGAGACCAGGGAAGAAAAGAAGAAAAGGGGGAATGATGTGGCCTGATGCTCTTGTACACTATAAAGATGTGTCACTTGGATTGGCTTAATAAAACACTGTCTAGTAGCCAGGCAGAAATTATAGGCAGAACTACCAGTCTAGTAGAATTCTGGGAAGAGGAAGGCAGAGAGTGAGTTGCTAGCCAGATGCAGAGGAAGCAATATGAATAAGCCTTACTGAGAAAAGCCATGTGGCTAAACAAAAATATTGTATTGTAAGAGTTTGTTAGTAAATAGCCTGAGCAATAGACCAAAGAGTTTAGGTCAGTTTATATGCTGTGAATATATGTTTCTCTTATTAGTTTATAAATAAAGATATTTCATTCAATGTACATGCAGGATTTAGTCAGGTAGAAAATCTAACATGGACAGAGAAAGGTAGTAAGTGGAGTCAAGGAGACGTCATGTAGTTGCTGAGGAGGCAAGAGGTCCTGGCATCACCAGTAAGTCAAGACTATGTACAGATACACTGATTAATACAAATGGGTTAATAATTAAGATAGAACTAGGCAATAAGAAGTTTGAGGCAGTAGGCCAAACAGTTATAGTTTCCCAAAGGCATTTCAGAATAAGTTTCATGTATTATGTTCCTCCATTCTCTGATGTCTCCACATGTGTTTTTTAAAAGAAAGAATGTTCCCTAACACAAATATAGTCCACTCATTAAATTTCATCAAACCTTATTTTTCTGAGAGAGGGTTTCTCTGTACTGCTTTGGAGCCAGTCATGGAACTAGCTCTGTAGACCAGGCTGGCCTCGAAGTCAAAAAGATCAGCCTGTCTCTGCCTCCCAAGTGCTGGGTTTAAGGACATGCACCACCAACATCTAGCCATCAAACCTTTTACCAACTATGTAATCCATAATGATTTTTTTTTCAATTGCCTCTCTCATATTATATATCAAACAGATGTCAAATCTAGTCTCAAAATTTATTTCTTTTACTGTTTAGAACTTTGATTGGTGGACCCAGAATGTACTCCCATTGTGTCCTAGCCCCAAAAGCAGGTGCTTTTGCCTGGCACTTTCTGTTTCCCAGCTGGCAGAGGATGGTTTAGAGAATGGCAGACAATAATTGGGAAATAGGAGGTTTTGATCATTTATGTTGTTTAAACAAATCAACTAAAGAGAATGTTTTAGAAGTGGTTCCAGGCTTGAATAAAAACTTATGCTAGCTTCCAACATTCTATTTACCTTTATAAATCTATATTAAAATTTAAAATACTTCCCTTTAGGTTTGTTTTACTTTCTCTACAACATGACGTATTTATGCATAGATACCATTGCATTCCATCAGTAGCCTTAATAAGGTTACACAGATAAATTGTACCCATTCTTACATAGCCTACCTAATTTATAGCATCATTTCAAACTATGTCCACTATTTTTCAAATTTTTATTAAGAGTCCATAGAGAAACACATGAGAATTTGCAGAGTAATAGCTGTTCAAAAATCAATCATGAGTGACTTATGTTAATATAAACTTTGTACATATCCAAATGAACCATTTGTATCCTTCTATTTTATCCCAAGAATAATTTCATAGAACTATAATCAAAACCCATGGCACATTTTGAGAATTATCCTTGCCATCAGAAACAAGTATCATCAGTTACATGATTTAAGTATTACTCACAGAAATAATATTTATTAAATGCTGTTATGTGTAAAACAATTTGTTAGTGATTTACATGTATTATATTAATTATTATTCAACAGCCCAACAAGAACATTGCTAATACTCTGTCCATTTTAGGGAATGGGAAAAATCATGTGTAAAAAGACTATACAACCCTAAAAGGAAGTCTGAATACAAGTGGATTATTTTGTTTTCTAATTTTTACATGTAATCTTAATATAAATTGATGTGTTTTATGTATAACTCAAATTGTCCTTTGGAACCTGAATGTGTTCATATTTTGAT